CCAAGGAGATATAGACAAGTGTGTGCAAAGCGGCGTCGGTATCCTGGAGCCTTCAGTGGGTGGAACACTAGCTCACACCACATATAGGTGGCTTTTTTTTTTCTATTTCTCTCATGTTTTCTTGGACATGATTGTGTTGTTGCCCCAGCCGTCGTTACTCTTATGTTGTCTGAATGCTGGTTGTAGATCGTTGCTTTATCTATAAAGCGAGGCGAAAGTCTATTTCGAGTGCCACAGCCCACAAGCGTGGAAGTGCAGCAGCCAGGGGAACTATGCGCGCAAGAGAGTTGCAGGGAATCTTGCAGGGGCGACCGGTACACGCAGGCGTCATAGAGCCAGTGCAGCTGCGGCGCGTCGACGCAGGGCGACACCGAAAGGGAGAAGTTGCCCCAGCGCGGCCGCGTGCGGACGAGTGCCTCGGCTCCTGCTGCTCCAATCAGTGCAGCTACTGCCCCAATCCGGTTTCCCAGAGCATTGTCAAGCAACGGATGAGAATTAACGCAGGTCCGCACCGCGTCATTCCATTGTGTCCTAGTCCGACAAACAATTACCATCGGAGGCGAAGACCACTGTGGCGTGGTCGCCGCGAACCTTCCCGGCCACCCCGTTGATGAAGGCGACCACATGCGATGACAACCGTGCTGCCCCGCTATATTTATCGACTCCGGCGAGCCATTGTGGACGGGAGAAACCACACCGGGCTCCCAAGACCACCACATCGTCTTCCCAGCGCATTTGCTTTGCTCCTGTGTGACAATTTGCCTCGTCGGTGGCAGCCGCCATGCGGCACTATGAGGACGATAATTGACGCGCTGTAGCTAGAAGTGCATCCATCATGAGGTTGAGACGGTCGCGATCACATTGCCTCGAGAGCGGGTGTCAGTACTGCAGAAAAGTAAGGAATTTGAAGGAGTCAGATGCCTTCCTCGGAAAGACCTCCTCAATCATCATTTTATTATGCGCCATCCAAAGTGTCCATGACAACGCCGCACAGATGAGCCAAACAAACGGCGATGTTGAGTATGTTGCGTAGCTCTATGTTGGAGGAACTCCGCGAGGTTCGGGGCCTTCCAGTTAGGCCCCAGCGCCTCACGAACGAACGTCCATAGGACCCGCGCCGCCGTGCAGGAGAATATATAGGATATGGGTCCAGGCCTTGGGTACCGCGCGCAGGGGGCACAAGTCATTAACTGGGCCGGGCCGTTTAAGTACCTATGTCCCTGAAGGGATGCGATCTCGTAATAGCTGCCACAAAAAAATCTTAGTCTTGAGGGGTAGTGGCCACCGGCGTTCAAACGCCGATAGCACCACTGCTAGATCTGCCCAGCTGTGTGATTAGCTTAAGGTAATTCCCGATTTATCCCATTCTCCTCTCTGCTAACGTATAGCTGACTCGTGGACCACACCTTAATTAACACACAGGAAAACAACATTTCACAAATTTTACGTCAGGAGTCAACATCGGTCAACACAGTAAAAAACAGTCAATACCAAGCCGGGGGTTGATTTGTGAACCGAGTTACAAGTTAAGGGTGCCGGGATAACCGTTTTCAAGTTGGGGGTTGAAATCTAAACCAAGTGGGCAAGTTGAGGGTTGTAATGTGGACTTTTCTCTTCCAAGGACGATGTTGGATTGACGACAGACTTGCTCATCACGGTTCGCCCCGCAACTCCTCGTGCATCCTCTGTGATCAAGAGACAGAGTGTATGCAACACTTGCTTAGCGGCTGCTCCTTCTCTCGCCAAGTTTGGCACGAGATCCTCTCCTGGTGTAGGCTCATGACAACCCTCCCCTCCGTCGACATCCCCTTCCTTGACTGGTGGGTGGCCTCCTTCCTCGATGTGCAAGGGATTCACCTCTATCGTCTCCCTCAATGACTGGTGGCTTTGGAAACAGTGCAATGGCTGCACCTTTGACGGTCTCTGTTCCTCCATCACCAGCGTCACTGAAACCATCCAAGACGAGGCGTGTCTCTTGGTCCAGGCCGAGGCCTCCAGATTACATATAACATCCTCACTACAAGCTAGCTTAGGGCTTTTTGCTTTAGGGCTGAGCACCCCCCCGTCTTCTTGTAATGCTCAGGTTTTGTGCATCACACCGCCACGCGTGTTTACGATCATGTGCCTAACCTAACCTGTATCAGTTCTTTCTAACTATCAAAGAAAAATACGCAAGATTTGCCGTATGCGCCAAAAAAAAGACATTAAGTAAGAGATGGATCAACTCTTCCTTGGACAGGACAACTAACGTTGGCAAGAGAAGAGGAGTATTTATGATATTCAACGAAAACATTAAGATAATGAATATATGAATATTGATGAAAATAAGTCGAATGCATGCATGGTCCTATAAGAATTTGCAGGTTTTATATATTTCTTAATGTTTTTCTAGTTCCACTGTTTTTTTGCAACAAGTAAAATTCCGACTTAGGAAATACTACGAGTACTTGGTGATGTTTTTGTAAAAAAAAACAGTGAAGGATGATACCGCGTACACGTAGGCGCCACATCACCAGATTTCCCGTTTTGACGTCCACAGGTGGCCAGCCACCGATTCAATCAGCTGCAGGCAACAAAGAAAAGTGCTCCCCGTCCATCTGCCCGCCGTGCCGGCAACACTCCGTCATCGCTCGCCGCTGCAGCCAACGGCCCATCCGGTCCGGCGGGCCTTCTCCTCTCCACCGACCATGGGGGACGCTCCAAGCCATCCCGACTCAGCGGTGCTTGCGTATGTAGACTTTCACAGGGAGGTGCGTGCACAAATGGAAGGAAGAAAGCCCCCCGAGTTTCAGAGCTTGCTCTGCAGCAAACAACAAATCAACTGTCCCTCAAAGCCCTCCTCCCACCAGAGCAAGCCCAGTCAATCTTTTGCTACCAATCCTAACAAAACCCAGAAATTTTCAGTAGGAGGTAGGGAGGACTGAGGAGCACCAAGGGTGCCAACAATGGAGTTGGTGGTAGGTGCTTCAGAGGCCACCATGAAATCGCTCTTGAGGAAGCTTGGAGGTCTGCTTGCTCAAGAGTATGCTCTCATCAGAGTTGTCCGCGGAGACATCCAGTACATGATATCAACGACGAAATGGCGAGCATGCAGGCCTTTCTCGTCGACCTCAGCAGCACTAGTCCCCAGGGCCATGACCACCGGATGAAAGACTGGATGAAGCAGATCCGCGATGTCACCTATGACATCGAGGACTGCGTGGACGACTTCGCGCACCGCCTCTCCCACGACCCTGGTGGCAAAGTCATCTGCACATTTGTCATGTCCAATGTCTATGAGGTTTGGACATGGCGATCTCGCCGCAACATCGCTTCCAACATCGCTGAGCTCAAGGTCCGCGCGCAGCAGATTGGCGAACGACGTAAAAGGTATGGTGTCGAGAATCCGAAGATCGAGTGGCGTCAGGGAGTCCGGTGCAGCTGCCACTGGAAGATTCCAGGCTGCCGAGAACCAACAGGCGAGCCTTGAGCTTGTTGGTACCAAGAAGCCTGTGGGAGTGGACAAGGACATGAAGAAACTCGGAGAGTGGGTGACCTTGCAACAACCAGCTGCAGCATGTCTCACAGACCCTTCCTCATCAGCTCCTACATCCCAAACCGGGGCTAAGAAGCAAGACCAAGGCATTCTGTCCATCCTCGGGTTCGGAGGGGTGGGCAAGACTACTATGGCCATGGCGTTATACCAGAAATTTGGTGAGCAATTTGACTGCCGAGCCATGGTCACGGTGTCGCAGAGCTCCGATATAGAAGCGATACTACGAAGCATACACAGTCAAGTCGTGCCACAATCCAAAGATGGTGACGGGCAGCAAGGCAGCAGCGGTGTCGGCACCTTGGAGAAAAAACGCCTCGTGGCTGCCATAGGCAGCATGTGGGATACTGTCATACCGAAGGGCCAGCAGGACGATGAGCAGTGTGGTGGTAGCACCTCAGATATTGCACGAGATCTCATGAAGCACTTGGAGGAACAAAGGTACAATATATTTTTCAAGTTGAGTTTGCATTGTGGTTAATTAGGTCATTGCAAAATTATAGAGTTGCATAGTATGCAGGAAAAAAACCCGGTAGATCCGCAAGTTGCTCTTCTTATGGATACAATAGACTCACATTAAAAGAAAAGAAAGAAAGAAAATGTGTGGCTAGTATCAGACCAATTTTTATTTGACCATAGGCACAAGCAACTTATTGGTCCTATACTCAAAATTGCAAAAGCGTTGCGTGCAAAAAAGTATATGCTAGTTTAATACTGCACTTTTTGGGTCATAAGTTATTAGTGTGTAGTTCATTTCCTTGCTGTTGATATTTCATTATTCTTAATAAAAATCAACATCTGGGACTCACATATTAAGATACTCCTATTTTTTAAAGAAATTTCATAGTATGGAGGACACATCTACATGCACATGTGAATATGCTGCTGATATTTGAGTATATGTAGTTCATTGTATGCAGCTCGCCCCTATAGAATATGCGGGTCTATATATACTCTATAATAGATTTGGGTGTTTGTATATATATGTCCACATTTTGTCTTTTTTGGGTAGCTTACATGTTAAAATATTTTCAATGAAATTTCGCATATATGTAGGACACATCTACATGCACATGTGAATGTTGTTTCAGCTGTATTTGAAATATTTCAATTTGATTCTGTAGTATGTGAAAATCTCGGACTCACTGGAGCCAGCGATGATCGTATTCCTCATATTTACCCCGTTACAGTGATAAGATAAAATAAACTACTGTAAAGAGCTTATTTAAAACGTACTACTCTTGATGAATCTTTCTTCTCATTGCAGTTACTTGCTCTTAGTTGATGATGTATGGTCTGCATCAATGTGGGATAAAATAAAAAGTCACTGCCAAACTGTAAGAGAGGCAGTAGAATAATAGTTACCACACGGTTTCAAGCGGTTGCCACTGCTTGCATCAGCGATGAAGGATCAGGTCTTGTTCATAAATTGGTCGGACTTAGCGATGACCAAGCTAAAGAACTATTCATGGCCGAATCCAATATGAGTGAAGAAAACCAGAAGAAAATTCCACCTGGACTCTGGAAAATGTGCGGGGGTCTGCCATTGGCCATAGTTATCATGGCTGGGCACGTAGCCTGCAACCCAGATAAAGTAGAGAATGACTGGAAGGAAGTTTGCACCAGGTTGGTACCGGACACAATGATACTAAGCCATTGCTACAATGATATGCCTGCTGAGATCAAGACATGCTCCTTGCATCTATGCATATTGCTACAATGGCTAGCAGAAGGCTTCGTCAGTGAGAAGGATGGGCTGAGTGCGGAGGATGTCGCAGAGACATACTTCAATCATCTCATAAAGAGGAAGATCATACGTGCTGTGGAGCACAGCAGCAATGGGAAGGTGAAGAGCTATCAAGTTCATGGCATGGTTCTCGAGTACATTGTGTCCAGGGCAAGCGAAGAGAACTTTGTCACTGTGGTTGGTGGCCACTGGCTCATGGCACCGCCTAGCAACAAAGTCCGTCGGCTGTCCCTCCAAGGTGGTGGCTCCAAATACAAGAAAGGAATGGATGGCATGAACTTTTCTCATGTCCGATCTCTGACCTTGTTTGGGAGCTTGACCCGACTGCCTTCCAATTCATTGAAGTTAGGAATTGTGCAAGTGCTAGACCTTGAAGGTTGCAATGATTTTAAAAAGCAACATGCCAAGGAGATATGCAAGATGCTTCTACTCAAGTACCTCAGTCTCCGGAGGACAGAGATTGACAAGATACCTAAGAAGATTGGAAAGCTCCAATATCTGGAGACTATTGACATAAGGGAGACCAATGTCACAGAGCTTCCAAGCACTATCTCCCAGCTTGAACGACTGGTCAACATACTTGGTGGAAACAAAAGAACACGGAAGGCACTGAAGCTTCCAGATGACCTGAAGAAGGAAACAATGAAATCCCTGCGCATCCTGTCAGGTATCGAGATTGATGAGCGGTCAGTAGTTGTTGTGGCAGACCTTCATCTTCTAACTGAACTGAGGAAGCTAGCCATTTACAAGCTCAACATCAGAAAGGGAAGTAAGATTTTCAAAGAATTAAGCTCAGCAATTGAGTATCTTGGTGGCTACTCTCTTCACACCCTGAAAATAGATGACGAGTCATCTGAGTTTCTAAAATCGTTGAGTGCTCTCTCTTTCCCTCCCAAGTTTCTCAATGCTCTTGAACTGTCTGGCAAGTTGGTTGAGCTCCCACAATGGATCACAAAACTTGATGCCTTGACGAAGTTGACCCTCTCGGTGACGGTGCTAACTACTGATGCTTTGCGCCAGTTGAGCAAGCTCAAGACACTGTTTTCTCTCACGTTTTCACTTACTTCAGGAAAGGTGGATTCTGAAACAGGTGCCACCACAGGGGAAAACAAGGCTGATGGGGAGATCATAGTTCCAGCTAGCGGATTTGAGGAGCTCAAGCTTCTTCACTTCTCGGCTCCATTGGTGCCACTGCTAACCTTCCAAAATAACGCGATGCCGAAGCTAGAACGGATCGAGCTAAGGTTCAGCAATTTTGGTGGAATGCATGACATGGAAAACCTTCAAGGTCTAAAAGAGGTGCATCTCAGAATGCATGACAAAGCAGGTGAGGTTACCAAGTTAATGGTAAACGAAATGGCAACTGCAGCTACGGAAGATGACAAAGGCCCCAGAATAATTGTTGATCAGTATCACGAGTGAGTGACCTGGTTTATTATTCTTTGATTTTTCTTCTATAAACTATTCTGTTGTATAATTCTATTCTTTGTGCAACTTCAGAACAGTATTTGCATGATCTATTTTTAATTATATCCTTGAGCTTCATCTGTAATGCTTTACAGTGCCCGAGCAAGCCCAATCTATACTTTTTTTTTCTCACATTTTCACTCACAGTGGCATAGCAGAATCCAAATGACATCTTAATCAATGTGTTTAGGCAAATTTTAATCAATGACATCTTCATCTATACATGTGTTTATCTAGCTTGCCTTGCCAAATTATACATGAATCAGTGCTCGAAGGGATTCATAGGCACCAAAGGAAATTCTTCTACCAAGGCTTGAGGTTGTCCAATAAGCAAGTTCATATTAGCTTGTAGGGCATTTTTGTTTCAAATGATCCTTAAAATTCAGGAATACGAGGAGAATGGCGGGACGCAATAGATGGTGGCACTTGGGAGGGGTGGCGGGACACAAAGGAGATGGGGAGGTGGCGAGCGACCGGACATAGAACCATGATGGGAGGTGGCAGTACAACAACGATGCGTCGACTAGAGGGGTTTTGGAAGCTTTCTTGTAACAAGTTTGGATAGTACGGATAATGTAAGTTTCCTACATGTGCAATATATGGTGAGAACAACCTATATGATGCAACAAGCAAACTAGCTAATTAGGAACAACACAAAGTAAAACATGTGGAAAAGATTAACGATAAATTTGAGAAGATGGTCTATCCTGAAGTTCACACTCTTGGTGATTGTTAATCTCCGTTAAAAATGTACTGGATCCAAAGCTAACAACTCACCCTATTCTCCTCCAGCGGATGAGCCTGAAATCAATCGTGGTTGGACTTGAAGGTGCCCACCAAATCTTTACAAACTTCTCCGGAGGACGCCACAACAAAGAATCTTCCGTAAGGACTCAAACCGTCTAAAGAGTCCCCAACAACTCCAAAAGTAACAAGATCCACTTTGCATCAAGAGGGATTCAGTATGGTGAAAGTGTAGACCGGTGTCTTCTCTTGCTCCATCTAAAGGATGGTGAAGTTTGGTTGCGTTGTCTAGACATTCCGGACTACTTCCTCGCAGTTAGAAGCTGCAACTCTCTGGAAACCCTGGAAGTTACCTGACCGGATGTTCAGGCCAACATTTATGCAGACACCGGGATTTCCAGAGAGCTGCAACTCAAAGTTGCACTTCTCTGCACACCCACGGAGGCTCTGGGCAAACCCTAGGATTTCGAGAGAGTCGCAACTCATTGTTGCACTTCTATGGACACCCCGAAGGTAGCACGGAGGCTCCCCCCGGTGGACGAGACTTGCCTGGTCCCTTCTGTAGGGTTTCGTAGTAATTTCAAAAAAATTCCTACGCACACGCAAGATCATGTGATGCATAGCAACGAGAGGGGAGAGTGTTGTCTAAGTACCCACGCAGACCGACTGCGGAAGCTTTGACACAACGTAGAGGAAGTAGTCGTACGTCTTCACGATCCAACCGATCAAGCACCGAAACTACGACACCTCCGAGTTCGAGCACACGTTCAGCTCGATGACGATCCCCGGACTCCGATCCAGCAAAGTGTCGGGGAAGAGTTCCGTCAACACGACGGCGTGGTGACGATCTTGATGTACTACAGCAGCAGGGCTTCGCCTAAACTCCGCTACAGTATTATTGAGGACTATGGTGGCCGGGGGCACCACACACGGCTAAGGAATAGATCACGTGGATCAACTTGTGTGTTTCTGGGGTGCCTCCCTCTCTCTCTTCCCCCCCAATCCTAGTTGGACTAGGATTCCCCGAGGGGGAAAGAGAGAGAGAGGGAGGCCGGCCACCTCTCCTAGTCCTAATAGGACTAGGGGAGGGAGGAGGCGCGCGGCCACCTTGGGCTGCCACTTTCTCCTTTCCACTAAAGCCCATCAAGGCCCATATGGCTCCCGGGGGGTTCCGGTAACCTCCCGGTACTCCGGTAAAATCCCGATTTCACCCGAAACACTTTCGATGACCATTTCGAGACTCCTCGTCATGTCCGTGATCACATCCGGGACTCCGAACAACCTTCAGTACATCAAAATGCATAAACTCATAATATAATTGTCATCGTAACCTTAAGCGTGCGGACCCTACGGGTTCGAGAACAATGTAGACATGACCGAGACACGTCTCCGGTCAATAACCAATAGCGGGACCTGTATGCCCATATTGGCCCCTACATATTCTACGAAGATCTTTATCGGTCAGACCGCACAACAACATACGTTGTTCCCTTTGTCATCGGTATGTCACTTGCCCGAGATTCGATCGTCAGTATTCCAATACCTAGTTCAATCTCGTTACCGGCAAGTCTCTTTACTCGTTCTGTAATACATCATCCCGCAACTAACTCATTTAGTTACTATGCTTGCAAGGCTTAAGTGATGTGCATTACCGAGAGGGCCCAGAGATACCTCTCCGACAATCGGAGTGACAAAACCTAATCTCGAAATACGCCAACCCAACATGTACCTTTGGAGACACCTGTAATACTCCTTTATAATCACCCAGTTACGTTGTGACGTTTGGTAGTACCCAAAGTGTTCCTCCGGTAAACGGGAGTTGCATAATCTCATAGTTATAGGAACATGTATAAGTCATGAAGAAAGCAATAGCAACATACTAAACGATCGGGTGCTAAGCTAATGGAATGGGTCATGTCAATCAGATCATTCTCTCAATGATGTGATCCCGTTAATCAAATAACAACTCATTGTTCATGGTTAGGAAACATAATCATCTTTGATTAACGAGCTAGTCAAGTAGAGGCATACTAGTGACACTTTGTTTGTCTATGTATTCACACATGTATTATGTTTCCGGTTAATACAATTCTAGCATGAATAATAAACATTTATCATGATTATAAGGAAATAAATAATAACTTTATTATTGCCTCTAGGGCATATTTCCTTCAGTCTCCCACTTGCACTAGAGTCAATAATCTTGATTACACCGTAATGATTCTAACACCCATGGAGCCTTGGTGCTGATCATGTTTTGCTCGTGGAAGAGGCTTAGTCAATGGGTCTGCAACATTCAGATCCGTAGGTATCTTGCAAATCTCTATGTCTCCCACCCGGACTAGATCCCGGATGGAATTGAAGCGTCTCTTGATGTGCTTGGTTCTCTTGTGAAATCTGGATTCCTTTGCCAAGGCAATTGCACCAGTATTGTGACAAAAGATTTTCATTGGACCCGATGCACTAGGTATGACACCTAGATCGGATATGAACTCCTTCATCCAGACTCCTTCATTTGCTGCTTCCGAAGCAGCTATGTACTCTGCTTCACATGTAGATCCCGCTACAACGCTTTGTTTAGAACTGCACCAACTGACAACTCCACCGTTTAATGTAAACAAGTATCCGGTTTGCGATTTAGAATCGTCCGGATCAGTGTCAAAGCTTGCATCAACGTAACCTTTTATGACGAGCTCTTTGTCACCTCCATATACGAGAAGCATATCCTTAGTCCTTTTCAGGTATTTCAGGATGTTCTTGACCGCTGTCCAGTGATCCACTCCTGGATTACTTTGGTACCTCCCTGCTAGACTTATAGCAAGGCACACATCAGGTTTGGTACACAGCATTGCATACATTATAGATCCTATGGCTGATGCATAGGGAACATCTTTCATATTCTCTCTATCTTCTGCAGTGGTCGGGCATTGAGTCTTACTCAATTTCACACCTTGTAACACAGGCAAGAATTCTTTCTTTGCTTGATCCATTTTGAACTTCTTCAAAATTTTGTCAAGGTATGTTGTTTGTGAAAGTCCAATTAAGTGTCTTGATCTATCTCTATAGATCTTAATGCCTAATATGTAAGCAGCTTCACCGAGGTCTTTCATTGAAAAACTCTTATTCAAGTATCCCTTTATGCTATCCAGAAATTCTATATCATTTCCAATTAATAATATGTCATCCACATATAATATCAGAAATGCTACAGAGCTCCCACTCACTTTCTTGTAAATACAGGCTTCTCCAAAAGTCTGTATAAAACCAAATGCTTTGATCACACTATCAAAACGTTTATTCCAACTCCGAGAGGCTTGCACCAGTCCATAAATGGATCGCTGGAGCTTGCACACTTTGTTAGCTCCCTTTGGATCGACAAAACCTTCTGGTTGCATCATATACAACTCTTCTTCCAGAAATCCATTCAGGAATGCAGTTTTGACATCCATCTGCCAAATTTCATAATCATAAAATGCGGCAATTGCTAACATGATTCGGACAGACTTTAAGCATCGCTACGGGTGAGAAGGTCTCATCGTAGTCAATCCCTTGAACTTGCCGAAAACCTTTCACGACAAGTCGAGCTTTGTAGACAGTAATATTACCGTCAGCGTCAGTCTTCTTCTTGAAGATCCACTTATTTTCAATTGCTTGCCGATCATCGGGCAAGTCAACCAAAGTCCATACTTTGTTCTCATACATGGATCCCATCTCAGATATCATGGCTTCAAGCCACTTTGCGGAATCTGGGCTCACCATCGCTTCTTCATAGTTCGTAGGTTCATCATGATCTAGTAGCATGACTTTCAGAACGGGATTACCGTACCACTCCGGTGCGGATCTTACTCTGGTTGATCTACGAGGTTCAGTAGTATCTTGTTCTGAAGTTTCATGATCATTATCATTAGCTTCCTCACTAACAGGTGTAGGTGTCATAGAAACAGTTTTCTGTGATGTACTACTTTCCAATAAGGGAGCAGGTACAGTTACCTCGTCAAGTTCTACTTTCCTCCCACTCACTTCCTTCGAGAGAAACTCCTTCTCCAGAAAGTTTCCGAATTTAGCAACAAAAGTCTTGCCTTCGGATCTGTGATAGAAGGTGTATCCAATAGTTTCCTTTGGATATCCTATGAAGACACATTTCTCCGATTTGGGTTCGAGCTTATCAGGTTGAAGCTTTTTCACATAAGCATCACAGCCCCAAACTTTCA